GGTATTTTAAAATACCTCTATCTCTGAGTGGAGTAGGTGAATGAAAAAGGGCGATAATTTTAATTTTCTTTGCAATTGTTACTGCTCCAGCATTTGAATCAAACATTTGGATCATATTTACAAATAACCCAGAGTTGAGTGATTTTCTGACCAAAGGAATTTGACTTTGCTTGTCATTGCATGGAGCCCACTGCAGATTTCGGGACGGCAGCAGGGCTCAGACTCATCATCCGGCAGGTTCATGCGGGCGGTGCTTGTCTCTGCTGGCCTTGTATATGAAAATACAGACACGCTTCACAAAGGCTGAGCCAAGTTGGTTAAAAAACCTCAGCAAAATGGACAGTTTGTACAAACTGTGCCAGTTGCCGGCTTACAGGTGTTTCACATTGCTCTTACTGTAAGGCAGACAATAGTTGTAAGGGAGGGAAAGCCAGCGCCTGGTGTCTGAGCATCCCGCCCCGCCTCCTGCAGCAAACTGTGCTGGGTTTGTGGCATCTCCTTCTGCTGCCATGAAAATTGCTGTCATGTCGCAGACTAAGCTCTTTGGCTTTGCTGCCAGATTAAGCAGGAGAAGCTAGACCGTGATTAGCAAAAAAATCACCAGGAAAGCAGTACACGGAGTTTGAAGGTGAAGAGCTGTGAATAACAGGAACGGCTTTATCGTACTCGGCAGCAAGCTGAGCCGGGAGGTGCCAGAGCACTTGTAAAATGGAGCTGCAGGGAGACAGCAGATAAGCATCACTTCAGTGCTGATGCTGTGTCACAACCAGGCACAAAACCCGGAAGCAAAGAGCGCTGCATCAGTGCGGTCGCATTGTCACAGCAGCGGTCGCATCGCAGCAGCGATGGATGGAGGAGAGACACCTCGGCTCCCACACCCGGCAGGCAATGCTGAGTGATGGCATGAATTGACAGTGCTGCTTTCCTCACCTCCCATGTCAATGAGAGCAGTTTGTTATGTTTTCTTTTTTTCCCTTGAATCTTGGCACTTAATGAATTGCTCAGTTTATGCGTTCAATATAATGCTCCCTCTCTGTTTTGCTATGTTCCCACTCTCTGTCCTTGGCAGGCTGGAGGGAGGAGAGGGTCCTGGCAGCTTCCCTTGGCTTGCACTGGGAAGAGCTGGGCTGGCAGCTTCTCCTGCCAGGCAATGCACTGAAAACTTGGTATGGAGCCCTTAGGGCTCATCAGGCAGGGCACCAGTGACGGAGACATCTGTTAGGTGAATAGAAAGGTGGTAGCCACCCTATAAAGGCTTATGCTATCGTCAACCCCTGAATTGAGTAATGAGCGCATTGCTGTTTGCATTTTGAGGGCACCAAAGGTCACCCGGATAGCTGAGGGTACATCTGAGAGGAAGGCAAAGAAAGCATCCTGCCTGGAGGGATTTGCAGCAGGGAAGGGGAAATATGGGCCAGCACTTCATGATTAATTCATGAGCTTCAAATCATTCCTCCCTCCACCCTCCCCTGCTTTTCCCAGTGGCTGTCCTCCAGCCTGGAACATTGTCCAGGTAGAGGAGGGCTTTGGTTCCTAGTTTTTCAGGACGTCTGGCACTTGGTAAATGATGACTGGCCCCTGACTGTGCACAGCCACGTGTCTGAGGATGCAAACCTTTTTCATAAACCTTGTGTGCATCCAGATTTCTGTCCAGGATTTCTCTGCCACAAGTACCAGTGACCTAAACCATCTTGGAAGTGCCCAAGCGTTGGTGGCCATGGCAGGGGTGCAGGGTGGCAGGGTCCCTTTGCCTTCAGGCCTGCTCTGTGCTTCTCCGTGAAGCCCCTACTTAGGCTATGGCAAGGAATGAATCCTCCGGTGCTGACCAAGGGTTTGTACATAAGTTTATTTCATGACAAATACAGCAAATTTCTTGTCAAATTTAACCCTTGCCTCCCTGATAGTCAGCGATGTTTGTGTAATTTTCCGAGCGTGTTCATGGAACTGTATGTGTGTGGTCAGGTGCACGCAGGCGTTTGGTACTTGGTTTGACTGAGGACAAACCAGCCCTGGTCCAGAGCAGGGTGCCGGAGGCAGTGCCTGCTGGCTTGGACACAGGATGCTGCCGGGGTGCCCATGCGGCTCTGAAATCCCACCTGGGTTCCTCATGCCCATCAGCACCACCTGTGTAAAGGTGCCTTGCTTTGCTTGTGCTCCTGGCTTGTGGCGATCGGTACAAACACGCTGACAGCTCGAGCTGGTTGGGACAAGTTCCAGCAAAACCCTTTTTCTTCTGAGTTTGCTGATTTGCTGGAACGTGTGTCACAGGTGTTTCCGCATCTATCCGGTTCTGATGAAAGCTGGGCAAGGCTCAACGACACCCTCCCCAGTGGCTTGGCAGACTACCTGGGGGGAAGCATCAAGATGCGTGTGGTTTTTTTGTGAGCTTCATCTCCTATGGCTTCCTGTTCCTGGCTGTGGGAAACCTTAGCCACAGGCCAGCTCGGGTGCCAGACCTCCTGTCATTTGCAATGATTTTGAATATATTTTCTTCTGAGTGGGAAGATGCCAAGAATTAAAACATTGAAAGTCTCCATAAAGTGCAATTTTCTTTCTTTACCAGAATTTCTTAGACCCTGCAAAATTCTGAAGAAGGTGAGACTTCATAGCTAAACATTCAGTAATCCTTTATAAGCTGTAAGTGAGGCCTAATTTAACGGATGACTCACATGACTGAGTGCTATCTTGAAACTGCATTTGTATCCTTTTTAGTTTCAGATCATTCTCATACCTAGTTTTGCCACTTATATATGTATATTTATATATAAACCCCATAAAATCCTTATGTCTACAGTTAGTTTTCTGGGATTATACTTCTGCTTTATTTTAATCCGTCTTATTTTCCTGGCCTGTTACGTTTGCTTCTATTTATTATATATCTTTTCCAGTTTTAAAAGAAATATAAAGTAGAACATCTTGATGAGCCTGCAGATTTTTTGACTCATTAGCAGTGACAGATGCAGTGCTCTGGTAACGTTCCCTGCCTGTATCAATAAGCTCTTGCCTCTTGTAATTGGGCAGTACTAATGTTTGGGAAGGCAATTGAATAAGCTTAAAAAGAGCTCACAAGATGGTGATCTCCACAGGTCAGCAGGCAGTGGAGTAAATCATCATGGTGAGGAGATGCAACTACCAGCACGTGGCAAAATCACTTATTACCATTCAGGCTGATGATTCGCAGCTCCTGCAATTACCAGTGAGAGTAGAGAAGCTGGGGAGAGAACAGGAACTCTGGTCTGGCAAATTCCAGTCTGAGGACTTGGATTCATTTCCATCTTTTAATGAGAGGGTGCCAACATCTGAGACAGGTCCCAGGGACATACTTCATTATAGTTCTGTGCCTTGGTTTCCCCCCGGGGTCATCATGCTGCTGCAGCATGTGGAGAAAAGCCTCAAACCTTCTGCATACATACTCTTTTGTCATGCACTGTATTTAAAATGTCTTTCCTCCCCTTTCTTTTCCCCTTAAAATGTTGATTTCTTCCTTTTTGCTTTTCTAAAGTGATATGGAGTGTTGCAGAGTCTTCGAACCTGCAAAATGTTCAAGTACAAGTTGAAAAGTAAATAAGCTGCATGTAACTCAGAAGTTGCACTGAACAAAGTTTTTAACACCTCTAGCTCTGACTTAGCACTTTTTAATCAATAAATTTTAGGAGGTCTCTATTGCTGTCCCAGATTTTATAAATGAGAAAACATATCAACTTATTTATTTTTTTTCTAGACTATGAACTTGGGACATGCACTAATTATGTTCATGAATCATCCCATAATTAAACCAGAAACTGAGTCTGGAGTGAGGAGTGTAAAACATGGACAGAATAGAAATTCTGAGCTATTGTGTAGTGAGCCAAAGAAATAATTTACAAAAAATGGCTTATTTGTATATGAATAGGAAAAGAAGGTTCTGACAGCCTCAGAGGTTTTCAGTGTTCACAGTCACTTGGAAAAAGTTTTTTCATAACTGTTATGTACTTGTCGTGGTTTAACCTTGGATGGCAGCTAAACCCCACACAGTTGCTCACTCTCAGTTGCACCCTCTCTGTGGGTAGGTGGTAGGATGCTCGAGTTTCCAGTATGACTTCTCTAGTGAGGGAGTTCAAATATTTCTTCTCAGGATCATGCAGTGGTAAAATATGCTTTCTGTAAAATGTAATTTTTGAGAACAGAGTGTAGCCATTTGAATAGAGAAAAATGGGAAGAGATGAGTGCCATGGACAGTGCCTCAGCAGACTTGGTATTTGAACAGTTCTTCACAGATAAAAAAAAGTTTGCTTTCTGACACTTGAGAAAATACCAGGAGGCAGTCGCTTGCTCTGCTATTTCTATGTTATTTCAGGTAACTGAACTTTGAAGGCTGCACTCCCATCCTCATTCATGGAGTGAGATACAGTGTGGGGAACCTCAGTGTGGAGTGCCCCCAGCTAATGGGCAGCCTTTGACCTGCAGGAATCACAAATTAGACAACAACCAGTTCTTCCTGCCTGCTAGAAACTATATTTTTTAAAAAAAGTGCAAGAGGCTCACAGTATGGGTGATGTCCTTTGGCTGCCTCAGTGGAGTGGCTGGGTTGTCCCTGTTGAGCTGATGTTGCCTAAAGGAGCTTTCCTGGGCAGGAATTTCTGCATAACAGAGCTCAGCAGCCTCTCCTGACCTTGTCCCTTCCCATTTTGAATTCTCGTACTCTTCCAGGAGTGCTGAGGGTACCAGGTGAGCTCAGCTTGGCCATTCCAGTGTTAGGCAGTTTATTCTGGTGGCTTCTGTTTTGTAAAGTGGTGGTAAAAAGGGGATGTAGCAGGATTTCAAATATTTCTGTGTGCAATAAATTCTGCTTTGCGGAAAAAAGAATGTGATGACCATGAAGCCTCATGCCCCAGAAGTCATAAATACTCTGTAAAACTATGGTTTTCGTCTCCACTGTCTGTGGACTCATCTGAGCCTGTGGCATAGACCTTTATATAGTATAAATGCTTTGATATAAATGACTTTCTATGTAATATAAGCATATTTGGTATCAATACGTTATTATGTTTTATTTCAACAAACCCACGTTTTTTCCTTTTTTTCCCCCAGAGTGACCGACTACTCATTAAAGGTGGAAGAATTATCAATGATGACCACTCCTTCTATGCAGACATATACCTTGAAGATGGACTTATAAAGTTAGTTTTTTAAAATATTGAGCTTTTTTTGCATGCCTATTAGTATAGACTACTGTGATTTCCTGACAGCATTGACCTGAAATCTTGTTACCTCTGGGTAGTAGAAGAGTGCTTAATTATGAAATTCTGCCATTTTATCTTTACTAAGGTTAGATAAGTATAAAATTGCTTTACTCTTAAGTTGAATGTATTTGCTTTTCCAACAGTTCAAGCCTAGTTTCTTCCAAAATAGTCAAGGCAAGTAGGCTCTCTCAACACGAGAAGTAATGGTAAGGACAATGGATATTTTTTTGAGTCCGTGTGTGACAGAAGGCTTATTGCAGCATTTTTTTTTCCCCCCACATCCAATCAGGGTGAATGCAGCCATGCCCTAAAGGATTATATGGCACAGAAATATGTTCCTTGTTACACAGTGATAGTGGGGACGTACTCCTCACTTGCCCTCTTGGTTAATGTTGAAACAAAGCATGATCCGCTGGCCAGCACTGTTACACATTCCTTATATGTCCGTTTTCCTGCTTAGCAAAGGAATATAATCTTGAGTCTTCACACAGTTAGAAAGTAAATCCTACTGATGTATCACGATATAAAATAGAGGAACTGGGAAAGTATTCCTTAGGCAAAAACCATGAAATATGTGTTACTGATAGCCTGTGAAGCAGTAACAGAGAAGTCTGTTCATGGAGCTCCTACTTTGACTCAGTGGAGATGGGGGTCTCTGGCTTTGCAAAGTTTTGTAGTGTGTACAAGCACTCTGATATACACAAGGATCATAGAATCATTTAAATTGGAAGAGACCTTTAAGATCATCAAAGCCTTTTTCTTACTGCTTAACATTTTCACTAGTGACCTAACAAGTTTGATCTTCGGAGGCTACAATTTAATGCACAGAAGCATAATTATGGTTGTCTGGTAAATAATTAACTACCTACTTGTTTCAGAGCTCCTTTTCCAGAGAAGCTATCATCAGATTAAAAATCCAGTTCTTTATGTATCTGTGGCTACTTACATTATTCATGATTCAGGTTATTAGAACACAAAAAATTCTGAATACTTTTGTCCATGGGTTGTGCAATTTTCTTCTTAATACTCTCCTCTGCCTTTCCAGATTTAGTGCTAGTTGCATTGCAGAAGTGGCAGGAGTGTATTGTTTTAAGTGGAGAAGGGACAAAATTTTGAACACGTATCTTTGGTTTTTTAATAGGAACAATCAGCCAAGTTGTACTCTCTGATAGGTATTTTAGTTAAGTTTTTATGTGCTTTTATTTGTTCAGATGCAAATTTCCTAGAACACTTAAAAGCATCACACGTGATTTAACAACTAAGTGTGTGAGATGCTGAGAAACTGCTGTGAATTTTTGGCCTTGATTCCAGAAATGCAGTGACACTCGTTAGGCAAGTTAGCAATGCCGACCTTGTTAAGTGCATGGACACCCTCTGAAGTCCATGCATGGATCCATACCTCCAGAAAGTATCTCAGCTGCCCAAGATAGCTAAGATTAATAATGAATAGGTAGGCAAGATCTTAATTTTACTATTAATTCGTGCCTGGTTTCCTGGGTTTAGATGATCCAAGATTTTTCTTTGGGAACTGTGCAGAAGGCCCTGCTCTGAAAAAGCAGCTGATTTGTAAGGGCAGCCTGGTCTGGTGTGTGCTTGTGTCCTAACCTTGTTCGGGTGATGAGTTCTGCAGTTTAGAAAAGTGCTATATTTTCCTGGTTGGTCTCTTTTGGTTTCTCCAGCTGGAGCTGCCCATTATGTCTGCATATTTTAACATCGTTGTCAAATGTTGCTCAAGATCTTTGGAGCAGGACCTTGAACCTCAGGCAACCATGTTTCAGCTGATGCTCTAACTCTCCAGCTGCATTTACTGCTGATAGTACAGATTTCTTTCTACATAATGGAGCAGACTCCAAACCACTCAGCCCAGAACAGTGTCCTGGTTTTGCTAAGGTATAAAAGATCTGGGTTAATTTTCCTGTTCTGCAGAGGAAACTGATGGGTAAATAGAGGGTTGGGTTTCTCTTGCAGACTAATAGAATGAACAGGTTCTTTTAACACTTATGTCCCTGCAGATTGTCCTGCAGAGAGGAATGTAGATAAAACCTTGAACGTGTTTGAAGATGAGCTGCAGTTTGGAGGGTGGTAGATGCTTTTTCCTACCTATCGATGCTCAGACTGACTCCCTAGATACAAGGGAGCAGTGGTGCATGTGGATTTTTCCTGGCTGAAACTTAAGCCCTGCACACTCAGGTGGCAGCTGAGAGGCAGTTCTATGCTATCTGAATAGTAACTTAGATATTTAGTAATTTAAATTGCCATTGGCATGTAAATAATGTATTTTGCCTACATCTCTCCTGTCTCTGTTACCCACATAAGGAAATGAGCCCTGGTCTCTGTGCCAAGCAGGAGGTCACAAAGTCTGGTGCCTGCTGTCCTCTGCTCTGTCCCTGCCCAGGGGAGGGGTTGGGTCCCTCTGGGCTGGAGGGAACTGACAAGTGTGCAGGATGGATGGCTGGGGACAGCTGGGCATGTGATGAGCCAAGTTAGGGGCAGCCTCAGGTACCTTAAAGAGATCTGGACTTGATAATGACAGAAATAACTCCACGAAGTCCTGGAAGAGGTTTTCAGCTTTCTCAGGTTAAGCTTATGGAGAAGCCTGATGTTTCTGTTGTGCTTTAATCAGCTCACGTGTGACAGAATTTACCAGACTGTTCAGCTGAAGACTGCAGACAGCATCAACTTTCTGTGTATCTGAGCTTTCTAGTTGCTGGTGCATCAGAAAACCATCTCGATCATTTATACAGTGTCTAGAATACAGCTATCTACACTATTGTGTTTTTCTCACCCACAAGTAACCGAACCCTGTTCTTATTAACATACAGTTAGCATTAACGAGTGAGCAGTTCAGGAATCCTGTCACTTTATCTCTTATTCTGTGTTCTAGTCAGTCAGAATAAAAATAACCTTGCATGCCAGTGAAGATCAGCCTTCTCCCAGCCTTAATCTTGATGCCAGGGCAAGAGATGAAACAGGCTCCTGACAGGTAATAATAGTGCAGTGTCATCCACAAAGGCCGTTTTGGTCCCATGTCACTTCAGCATGGATAACTTCAGCCATTGCCAAATAAGCTGTTACTCAACTATGCGCTGAAAATAATGTTCAGTGAGTCATCAAAAAACTTCAGCGTATACTTAGCACTCTTTGACTTCATTTGTTTATCTGTCGTCTTGAATAGGGAACTGGTAGATACTGATAGTAAGAAAATAAAAATGAATTGCTTTAACATCTTTGTGTAGGTTTTCTTTAATATTTTTGCAGAAGGAGCAGTAGCTGTTGGAGTGCAGTTCCACTTTAGACATATTCAAAGGAGATGAGTCACAGTGAATTTTTTCCCCCAGTTTAGTTTTTTAGCCACACAAATGCTGTACAAAGGTTGAGGGCTGCTCTTATTAAAATCTTGCGAGCAGATTCAACTAATGAAAAGTAGCGCAACACCATTATTCTATATGGGGCTACCTAACTTTATACAAGCGTTCAGTCTGCTCATGGGTTGGAGTGCCTTACGGTAAGCCTTTGCGAGTCAGATTTTTAACAGCAGAGGAGCTTCTTGCAGCTTGTTTATGTGGTGGGATGTGCTGGACTGGCTTTTGCAGACCCATCAATTCCCTGTTTGTCCTGGTATCATTCTCACTCCTCGCAGCTCTGAGCAGGCTGTGACACGCTCCCAGTGCTATATGTGTTGATGAATATTAGACGCCAGACACAGGGCTGTACGACTTCAAGCCGCGATGTTATCAGCTCTCAGGAGTTATCCCTTTTGGATTTGTTGGGCGCTGAGAGGCCGAGAGCCCAGCTTGGGGTGCTGGCGGGGAGCTGGCTGCTCCAGCGGCTGCACTTCCCACCAGCCAAAACCTGGAGCACTGGGGGAGCCAAGCTGCTGGAGGTGACATTTTTGCATAGCATATGAAACAAATTCTTGACCTCTTGGGGCTATTTATTAACTCTGGCGGTTTGGCCAAATTCCAATGTGAATAATTATCTCTGTTTTTTTCACTGGTTTTAATTAATAGCTGTATTAATTTTCTGTTCTGGCTTGTTGCGATTGGCCGTTAGTTGGTTGCTGTGTTTTGTTCTGTAGGTGGGAGTTGCATTTTAATATAGGAGAAACAGATTCAGCAGCTCAGATGTCTGCAATATTTGTTTAGCTGTGGATAAATGTTATTTTATCCCAGACAAAAGGAAATTAAGACAAGGGCTGTGTGTCTGTAATATGAAATAAACTAAGCCAACTTAAACTAACTCTGTAGTTATCTCTAAGCCCAAATATATTACAATATCAGAATGCAGAGACATGGCTTCCACACAGACCCATAACTTTCCTATTTGGCACCATGTGAAGTAGACAATAAAAATGTAATGTGGCTTTAGAATTTAGAGGTTAATTTACTCATAGTTGTGTCCATGAACACGAAAAGTATGTTGATTGTAACTCTCTGGGGTTTGCTTGTTATCAGCATGGAAGACAGACTAGTATTTTTGATATTGAAAACAAAAAATCCTGTTTTGAAGAACTGGGGGAAAAAGACGGCAGCAGTCAATAAACATTTTTGAACGTATTTATGCAGAATGTTTCATTAAGTTTTAGCTGTGAAAGGAGGGTGAACAATATGTCATGTTAGATTAGAGGTGTTTGAGTCTCTTAAATATGTATTTTTGTACCTTAGCATATTTATATTTCTTTTAAGGATAAATTTGTGCTGCTTGGTTACAAAGTAATCATTTCTTTCTTATGTGTTTTGTGCTTCTGCCATTTATTTACAATTCCAGCTTGCTATCGTATTTGATCTGTGCTTTTCTGGTTTCATTTATGAACTTAATATACGAAACCAGAGCCCCCAAGAGCATATTAAGTCTAGGTATTTGTAATTAAAGATAGGACACTTAAGTCTCACGCTGAATCATATAAAAACCAGTCTTTAATGCTGGCGCATTATGGCTTCTTTGTTGGCTGCTAAAGCAGTGCAAAGCGGCCAAAGCACACGGCCCAGCGGGGCAGGCTCGTGGGTATTTTATTCTGCCAGTGCTGTGCAGAGCGGCCAGAGCTGGTGCTTTAGCTTCATCTTCCCTTTGGGATCCTAGTTCTTTCTGTGTGGCCTTTAGTCTCCTCTCCCCTATGTTCTTCAAGTAGCTTCTGTCCCCTGTGCTTCTGTGTTTAAATAAAATAACATTGTCTTTCCCTGCTGCCTAGGCAAATAGGAGAGAATCTGATTGTTCCTGGAGGAGTCAAGACCATAGAAGCTAATGGGCGCATGGTTATTCCTGGGGGAATAGATGTCAACACATACCTACAAAAGCCCTACCAAGGAATGACTGCTGTCGATGACTTCTATCAAGGCACAAAAGCAGCGCTGGCAGGGGGCACCACCATGATCAGTGAGTATGAGCAGTGCTAACTCTTCCCACCCTAGGCTGAAGCTTGTGTGCCATAGGTGGAAATAGCTACAGGAGGCTCTGTAACGATCTTCTGAGATCTTCTGCAACGATTCCTCAAATTTCTGGCCACTGTCACCCAGAGCTGGCCTGAAAATTTACCTGCCTTTGGAAAGAAACAGTGGCATGGGGAATTGTCTCTTGGATTTCCCTCAGAAATACAGAACAAGCACTGTGGGATAGTATACTTACTCTTGGGTTTTTTGAAAAACAATGTAGTTAGTGCTGTAAATATATGGCACAGAAAATCTGACAAAGATCTGCTGTTCCCACCTAGTGACATTTCAGGGGCTCTGGAAATAAAAAGAACTCGGATTTGGCACCAAGATTTGAGGAGATCCTTATCAGAGATGACCTGGAGGAGCGTCTTTCTTCGTGGAAGGGAGAAGTGTTCAGTGTATCTAGTTGTTAAAGACTCTTGTTCTGTCTACCAGATGGCAGGAAAAGATTTAGCTCTTTCCTCCTAACAGTGGCTTGGCCCTTGGTTAGACTTTGTGAGGCAAATGTTCATGTGACATAAATAGTGTTAGCTTAGGTTTTACTCCCACTGAACTGGAATGTGGCTTTTTTTGCTGTGTGGTGTTCTCTGTTACCTATGGTCAGCAGCAAGTATCAACTGAAAGGATCTCTGACAATAAGCACAAAATGCACTGATGTTCATAACTTCTGTCAATAATTTTTTCAGTGTATGTTCTTCAGTTGAGGCTTGCTGTGCAGCACTAGGTTTGCAAATACCACCGGTAAGCCCATCCTGCTTTGTTTCCATACTTAATTTTGACCCAGCCCTGCAAAGGAAAGTATATATGCATAAGTAGTCACATCTTTATTTTATGTCAGTAAACATTGTGGCATCCTCAGGTGCAGAAGGCGTTGAGACAGTGAAGATGCATAGTTGCAGCTCGCTCAATCTGCTGTATAGTGCAGCTGAGTGTTTGTGCTCTACATTGTCTTTGTTCAGACCTTTGGCTGTATTCCAAATTTTGGCGGCTGAGAGAGCATTCAACATCACCGTTGATATACTGGTGAGGCAGAGGGGGCCAATTTAGTGCCTATGAGGCAACAGTTAATAGTAACATTTATTATGAAATACATGGAAACGGACACATCAGACCGTGAATACAGATCTCTTACAAAACAGTGAAAAGAAAGACAAATGCTCCCTAAACTGTGAGAAGCTTGGATCTTCCACTGTGTATTGATTGATGCTGCACCAAGCACGTTGCCAGACTCAACTTTGATATAGACTATTCCCAGAGTCTGCTGTACCTGAGACAGCAGGGTCTGGCTAACATCCCAAAGTTGCCACCTGGACACAAACTGCCTCCAAGGCTGTTTTGACCGAGATGCTGGAAGGTTACTTACTGACAGGCACTGAGGAAATCTGGACAGTGTGTAGTCTGGGTAACAGACACTGAATCTATTTTTCAGTTGACCACGTGTTTCCAGAACCTGGGTCGAGTTTACTGACCTCCTTTGAGAAGTGGCATGAGGCAGCTGACACCAAATCCTGTTGTGATTACTCTCTCCATGTGGACATCACCAGCTGGTACGATGGGATTCGAGAAGAGCTGGAAATACTGGTGCAAGACAAAGGTAAGTGAGTGAAAATTTGTAGTAGTCTTTTTTCAGGTTATTGAAATATTATACAGAGGTGAGATTTAGAAGCATTTTAATGAATGTGTGGTCCAGAACAGAAGTGCACAAGCATTGGTTATCCTGCCCATGGTTCTGCACTACCGCAATATAGGCATGGAAAATGAAGAGGTATATGTTGTCAGATACAAATGTATCACTTTATGCTTGCTTGTACATGTGGAAATAGGTTCAGACATTGCATACTTAGGTTTTATTGCACGATAAAACTCAGAAATCAGTGTTTAATCAGCCCAGTCACCTTAGCTCCTTTATTTCATGAATGGAGAGAATGAGACATTTAAAGGTAGTGGTTCAGATTTTAACTAGACTGGAGTCTGCCCATTTAACTGCTTCAAATTAAGTCCAAATACGAAGGGCACGTGTGTCTGAGAAGCTGACATCACAGGCTAGATCTCATTTCTTAGCAATGGCTTAGGGTAATTTACTTGCCAAGACTAGATTTTTTATAAAACAAGCCTATATTTTTAATACCCGTTCAAGTTATTAGAAAAAAAGAGCTGCTAAAGTTAGGTACCTAATATTGATAAAGTGTCCTGATTTTCTTAAGTGCTTGGTCTCCAGTGGCTTTCCCTGAAGTTACTAGAAGATGCTTTGTTTCAGGACTTATTAAAAACAGGTCACTTATTTAAGAACCTATTTAAGATGCTTATTATGGGATGGATTCAGTTAAATTAACAGGTCATGTGAGATGCTGTAGGTTACCCTCTGGATTGCAGCTACCACTCCAGAACAGCACAGATAAAACCTCTCATAAATCCATTTCTATACATGCCAGCTCGTGGCAGTTTCATGTATGGAGGACATCCTGTTGGCACCAGGTACACGTGTTGTGACTGAATCTAGCCTTCAGAAAAAGATAATTTTGATCTAGTTCCTTAAAATGCTGCCTAACAGCATGAATTTTTGTATAGAAACATTTACTTTTCAAAAACTTTTCACTTGATACTTTCCTTGAAAATGCGTAGATATTGGTTAGGAAATATTTTTGGAAATGGCTTTTAGTTACCGTAAGTAAATCAGAATGATCCTTGTGTTGGGAAATCTAAGTAATATGTGTACGCAGCATCCTTTGTAAAGTGCTGGTGATGACTTAGAATTGAAAAATTGTCTTTATATAGAAAGATACTATCAAAGTGGAAGAATGAAGCAAAATTAAGGTACTATCAAAGTAGAAAAGCAAAGCAAAATCCTGTTTTTGAGTGAGCAGTTGTTCAATGAAATGCTATGGAGATGTAGGGAATTTATCCTCTGTTGCAGCATTCTAGTAGTACGTGTGCTGTCTAACCAGATTTTAGGCAACAAAACACTTAAATCAGCAAGATTACACATAATTTAGAGAAACTGCAGCTGGTCTTACATAGGTCTTTATAATGCAGGTGATTTTTACAAGGTGGTGACATCTGTCAACACTGATGCTGCCAAATCTGTGCCGTTTCTCTGCTGTCAAGCATTAACATGGACATGCTGCTGTACATTAGGTGACTGTGCTCTCAGACGAGTACACTGTGCCTTGTTTCAAAGGTTAGATACTGTTTTCCAGAGCTCCTGGATCACAGATGGCTCAGCACTCCCAAATTTGCCTGAGGGCTCATGTTAAAAGTCTGGTGCAGCCACTTAGGTTAATAGTTTTCTCCCAAGTATTGAAATGTGAGTTTTCAGTATAAATCTGGCCTGCCTTTCAGTCTTCAGGGGAAGCAAGAATCTATTCATCAGTTCGTGGACTGGGACGTGTGATGGGGCCCTTGGTGGCCTCCCTGATGGTGGTAGCATTAGGAGGTCACCTTCATTCTCAGAGGTGTTGTAGTATGTCTCAGGCAGTCAAGGTGAATTGGTCTCACATGTTAGGAGACACAAGGTAAGCGTGAGTATGAAAGCACAAGTGCAATAGGAGATATTTCAGCATGGAGAGGGCTTTCACATTAATGGATAATATCTGCTGATAATTGGAAACATTTGAGCCTGCTGGTGCAAATAGACTTGATGTCATGGAGTGACATGCTGGTTTTCATCAGCTGGGAATCTGGATTTAATTTGTTCTCAGCTGATGGTCTGGTGGTTGAGTTAGCCGAGTAACAGAGCTTGGCTAATCGTGTTTCAGTGCTGCCTGTACCCTAATACAATCTCAGCA